GGGTTTAATATTTTTCCTAGAACTTTTTTTTTTTTTTTTTTTTTTTTTTTTTTTTTTTTTTTTTTTTTTTTAAAAAAAAAAAAAAAAAAAAAAAAAAAAAAGGAAAACTGACATAATCTGGATTTAGGAAAAAACCAAAGGGACACGCTGCCCTGCTCTGGAGCCCTGCTCACAACAGCCCGGCACCTGCGACGTGAGCGAGGTAGCCCAGCCATGGCAGCAGTGGCCGCCACAAGTCCCAGCCTCCTGCTCCTCGGCTTCAGGCAGCCCCCATTTATTTCCACAGCAAACCCAAAATATTTTAGCAGCAGCATGGGCTTCTAAAATAAGCGTTCTGCGAGTGGCGCAGACTGGAATCCCACGGGACTGTCAAAGGAGCCAGCAGCCACATCAGTCCTCTCGTGCTATTCCTGGAGCACCAGCATTGCTACATTTGCTTATTTAGTGTATCCATTAACTGAAAATCCTCTCAGATGAGCATTACTGCTGTACACGAGGGAAGAAATGCCATTTCACATGGGCAGCTAATTTTTTTCTTAACAGCAGCATCAGAATTCTTCTTCTGCATTTGGAGTATGTGAGCTCTTAAATTTCTTGAGTTTCTCAATAGCAGAAGAGACTGAAATTTCCCCGTGAACTTTGTTGTCTCTTGTTCGCACGTTGACAGCGTTATTTGCTTTCTCCTTTTCTCCAACCACTGCAAGACATACCACAAACAGTATGAAATTGTCCACCTGCGTTACAAAATGAGAGTCTGGGCAAACCCCATGCCCAACATTAAAACATAAATGATATTCAGAAACATAAGATGTTGCAATTACCTAAGATAAAGTTATACTGGGCCAGCTGTGCATTTCTGATTTTCTTGTTTAATGTGCAACTTTGATCTAGATCCACATCTGACATAAATCCTGCGTCAAAAAATTCGCTGCAAACCTACAAAAAAAACCGCAAAACAAAAAGCCCCCACTTAATATTCTACAATATGAATTTGTACGTGCTGCAATCCCTGATCTCTTCCAATAATTAACTCATCTATGTGCATAATTTTGCTCTCAAATCAATGAAAATTATTTGAAGAAAACTGCACACACAGTTAAGGGCTTTGCAGGACTCCAGCTGGGAGACAACAGGAGGTAACATCCGTATCAAATAGTTGCTGCTGTCCTCAGGCAGCTGTGCTGCTGAGTCAAAAACGTTTCCTCAGGCTGAGAGAAGAGGAAGAGGAGAAGGAACAAACCCACTTATGCCTGCACTAAAAGCAAGGCTGGGGAGTGGGGTAAAACCAACCATGGTCAAATGTAACGTAGTCAAGAGTACAGGTGCTGGAAAATACATGAAACCGGCTCTGCTCCTGCTTTAAGCAGTTAATTCTATAATGAGGCATTAGTTAGCATACCAAAACATTGGTTTGTCTTCTAGAATGTTTTTTCCTTTAATAATTACTGAAGTACATGCATAATAACAGAACCCAAAACACTAAGTCACATTCCCCTTTCTCAGGCTTATATAAATTTTGGACTACATGGGAAAATTTACCTCTCCCCTCCACATGTGTCTCCAAAATCACTAAAGCATTCAGTCTTTGTTCTAGGACAAGCACTCAAGGAAACATTAGAATCACTCCTTACTAAGAAGAGGCAGCCCCGCTCTCACCTGCCGGGCGTACTCTTCACAAGCAGCTCCCACGGGCACAACCATGACCTGCCGCGGGGACAGCCAGAATGGCCTGGCAAGCAGGACAAAAAAAAAAAGAAATAAGGGTGCATTTTACATCTGCATTCATATCCAGTCGTGCTCTCCAATAATAATTTGTTTTATAGAAACTATTTATGTTAGCTAAGAATGTTGGATAATGTTAACTTCCTCTTTTCAAGTTCACATAAAAGAACAAATATTGATTCTAGTAAGATGACATATGCAGAACTTTGATCTTTTCCTCACTCCCTAGTTGACTTTACAATTTCAAACATAATTTTATTTTTCCGTGTAATTTCCACTTTTATTTGTAACTGCATAGTGAGAGGTGGACAGTCAGAGAAGTGACTGAAACTGAGAATTAACTATTCCGTAATAAATACGTTAATGAAGAAACATCAGAGATGTTTCAAGCTGAAACAATGCATCTTAAAAAAATATTTCACATATTAGGACTAATTTATATCTGTATAAATAATTGCTTTACATGTCTAATACCTTCCCATACAATGCATGATTTTTAAGAAAAAAGGAACAAGAATAAAGCAGCACACATATACATTAAATTACAATTCTTATTTCTGCTTTATTGTATATTTTTTCCTGCCATCTCATGAAATTGGATTTCTAATAATGAACTATAAATGAAAGGGTATCATACAACTCGGACTATAAAATTAGACTTCTTTTCTTGTAATCTTACCTACTAATTCCGAGAAACTTCTAGGGATATTATTTTGCATTATGAGACATTAGGGAGGTATTTTCTATGTTGTTACACATTTCTTAGAGCTGCATTTGTGCCACGTACCATTTTCCTCCGTAATTTTCTGCTAGAATAGCTATCATTCTCTCCACAGATCCCAAAATAGCTCTATGAATAATCACTGGCCTTTTCTTATCATCGCCATCCTTACTGAAAAAGAACAAGTAAAGTTTAAAAATAAATTCTCTTAGCTCACACACAGATAAAATCCTACTAATATTTTTGATTCTACTTTTCATGAAAAGACAAAATGTGGTTATTTATAATTAGGCAAAATCTACCTTTTAAAATAAAAATGTGATTTCTTTAAGCTACCTGAGCTTTTAAAAGAATACTGAATAATCATAGTGACTTAAAATAACCAGGGCTGTAGCTCGAGGCATAGGCATAATCTCCTAAGTTTGAAAAGATACTCGACTGACTCGGATCCATTTCTGTGCAGTTTAGTATTTTATGTTCTTCCTCACTCTTTCTTTTCTGCTATGTCTTGCTTTTATTTTGTTGCACAGGATCTTACCTGCCCTTACTGTTAATTTCTTTTCTTAAATTACAATCCTGTGCATAAAAAAAAGCCAACTGCTGTTCATAACACTATTATCACCTACCAAAGAGCTAGGGTATCTATTGTAGAACGTGCAGCAGAACCAAAAAATAACAGAAGTTTTTATTGTATCTTCCCTTTTATAACATGCAAAAACACAGCAAAAAACCAACCCTGAAAATGTGTGTTCAAGTCAACAAGATTAGTTCACTTTGTGGACAAATACCCCTCTTCTTAGCTGGAAGCCAAAGTGAGATTTTTATTAAAAACTGATGGCATTCGGTTTAGGTTCAAAGTTAACTTACTTTATCCAATAAGAAGAATGAAGTACTTATTACAAACATACTAGGTCCTTAAGACATGTTTGAATGTGTATGCAGTGTCTTCAAAGGAGGCACAGTGACTAGGCTGAAAGTGAAAACTGACTCAACAGATTCTTCTCTAGCATTATATATCATCAGTTGTCTTTGGAACTGGCAGACAAGAGAGATCATTCCATTTTCCTGCAACCATTATTATTTACTATTAGAGTGACACCTCATTACAGGGGGGAAATGTCTTCAAGTTCATGAGTCAGTCCTCTACTCACCGGGGGCGTTTCCCCTCCTAAGGAGGCTATTGATACACAGGGTAATCATTTCTCAAGTGAGCAACAGAGCACTAATACACATCAGTTTAATGGGAGTTACAGATAATGAAAGTAACCTTTTTTTTAAAAAAAAAAATTCATTTCAAAGAGGAAGATATTTAGCTTAACCACTCACCCCACATAAGTAAGATTAAACCGAATAGGTAGCTGGAAGTCAAGTTGGATAGTAGCACATTGATGGTACCTGCCAATAGCATCTTTGATTTTAATATCAATCTGTGAAGAAAAATAACACAGTTACTAAATACAGTTTGCCTGCATGATGTCTGATATTCTTCTCCATCCCAAAGTTGTATGAAAATCCTGATTCACTAACCTTAGGACCATAAAATGCTCCATCTCCTGGATTCAAATTCCATGGCTCTCCAAAGCTATTCAAGCTGTTTTGAAGTTGCTAATCATAACAATGAGATAATAATTAAAAAAACTTTCATCACTCTAAATCAAAGCATTTGCCTTTGAAATACAAAGAAGTCAACAGGCAGCACAACTCCTATTGTTCAAGCATTCAGTCATTTACGGTAAATAATCCTCAAATAAGAGCAGTCCTTTGTACAAATGTTGTGATCAATCAGAAAAAGAGATTGATAGAAATTAAATTGGTTCCAGATAAAGAAAGAGCCAAGTAAGAAACAGAAAGTTCTCATCTTATACAGAAACTTCATTTTAATATGACGTTTTTGAACAGGCATTTCCACTAAGGACAATGTTTTGCATCTGATTTAAGAAATTTCACTATTCAACATGGAAGAACTTAGTTAAATATCCACCTCTGCAAATACAAATATTAAAGGTTTGTTTGCTTTTAAATGAATTACCTTTTCTGCACGATCCCAGATCTCTAGCTCTCCTAGATAATTTTCTGGTCTTGTAGAGAGATGTAGTTGAAAGGAAAAACCAAAGACAGCATACACTGACTTCAAGAAATCAAGACAGCCCTTCATTTCTTCTTCAATCTTAAACATAAATAAAATACATTAGTTCAAATTTACTTACACAAAAATGTAATTGGATTTACTGAATTCCTCATAATCAGAATATGAGTCTATTACCTTTTTAAAAAATTAAAAATCCATGAAAATTACATCCTACAAACCCAAATCTAGATAGTGGGTGAAGAGAGAACTGGGGTGGTGTGGCTTCAAAGCATGGCAAGAAAAGCAATGTTCTTGTTAAGCCTGGGGTTCTGAAGCCAAATTGCATGAGTCAGACTTGACAAAAAGTACATCAATTTATTCATGCAGCTCCACTAAAATCTATGGCACTACTGACAAAATAAAGGACGTATTCAGCACTACTATGGGAAACAAAATACTGTTAACAGCTTTTTTTTTGTTGCAGGGGGAGATGGGAGATACAAAATGTCTTGCTTTTGGGGATTTGATGCTAAATGTATCTTTCTAAAGGGGAAAATTCTATACAGAAAACCTTACTGTTTAATTCACAATCAATAACATCTCTCAAATAACACTGTCTTCTTTCCATATAAGCATTTTTTATTTCAAAGATAAAAATAAATAACACAAATTAAGGAACTGCTGAGAAACTTGTATCAGAGAAGCTAAGTTCAACAAGCTAATTGACTTCAGCAATATTGCAGTAGGTTAAGAAATTGGCAACACCAGATGCCAAAGAAGGAAGCACCTAAACCTATCCGAAAAACCCATCAAAAGCAGCATTACACTACAAAGCAACAAACAGAAGAAGCTTGAGTTGAAATATCTGGGGGGCTTTCTTCTTATTTAACATTGGTTTGGACTGGGAGGGAAAAGGGTTCTTTTTTGGTTTTAGTTAATTGGTGGTGGTGGAGTGGTGGTGGCTGTTTCTTGGGGGTTTGTTTTTTTACCTGTTCCATTGTGCAAAAGATGTGGGCATCATCTTGCTGGAAGCGCCTCACACGAGTCAAGCCACTTAAAGTCCCAGAGAGTTCATTTCGGTGAAGAACTCCAAAATCTGCAAGTCTAAGAGGCATTTCCCTCCAGGATCGTGGACGGTGGGCAAACATCAAGCTAAAAGGAACAGGAAAGAACCCTCCTTTTATCCTTCTTATAGAAGGTTTAAGACAACACAAACTAAAACAAGATCAGTACAGACAGTAATCCCATCTTTAAGTATTTATTCATTCAGGCAGTCTGCATCCTAAAAGGCAGGCAAACAGAAAAAGTGCAGCACTTGGAACGCATTGCTAAAGACCACCTAGAAAAAACACCGAGAGTAATCATCACAACTGGTTCATCTGTGCCGCCTTCCGTACACCGCATCCGATGCCCATCTCTATCCAACAGGATTTGTATTTCCTAGCAGTGCAGACTCGTATCAGCATCCACAAACCTCACGTGGTGCAGACTTCCTGAAAGATGCTCCTACAAGAATGGTATTTGGTCTGCTTTAGGGACACGGTCAGGGGAGCTCTCTGGACACACTAGGTGCTTAGTAGCCTACTGTAAACATACATGATAACATGCATTAATACTACTTCCCCCCCACTTCAGCCCCACAAAGGGTAAATATAGTAAAACAAGGAGTTTTTCAGTTGACAGTACAAACCAATGTCCTGGACAATTCATCGGTTTAAGGGCAAAAGTTTCCTTCTCAATCTCAAAAGAGAACATATTTTCACTGTAGTGCTGCCAGTGTCCTGAAGCTTCCCAGAGTTTACTGTTGAAGATGTTTGGAGATACAACTTCAGTAAAATTACGCCTGTGATATTCCTCCTATAAAACAATTCAACATTTAACACTGACAAGCAAAAGCCTGATTCTTTTTAATTGTGTTCTCATGATGGCAATTCACTGAGACACTAAAGGACTACTGCACATGTAGGTTTTATGGGACAGGAAAGAGCACATGTCAAAACTTTACTCTATTTTAAAAAAGGTTAGACCTGTATGACCACAGTAAAAATCTGGTATATGTTTACATACATAGATGTTTCTCTTTCTGAGGGCAGCTCAGTGCTATGAATGGCCTCCTACTTAAGATCAACAACTGACAGTGAGCTTATTAGGAGTTACATTAGTATATACTCACTCGTATGAAATCCACAAGTGTGTTATAAAGAAAGGCACCTCTGGGGAGGAAGAAGCAGCTTCCAGGACTCAAGTCATGAAAGAAGAAGAGTTCCTGCTCCTGGACACATTAAAAACAGAATGCTCTAACACCACTTCAAATGTAACTGCAGAACCACAGAAAAAGACTTCACACATGTTGAGACTCTGTTCACAAAACCTAAATGTTACAGCAACAAAATGATTTCCAGAAGTCTACAAGTTTAAAGCAACAGCAGTTAATTTATCTGTAATTCTTAATCTTAGAAGTCTGTAATAACACTGGAATTCTACTTGACTCTGTGACTATGTAAATACAGATTTCCTCAAAATACTGAAGCCTTAACCTATCTTACCTTCAGTAACCAAAGCAATTAAGTATATACCCATCAGATCTGAGAGTTGATGCCTGAAGCTTGTGAGCTAGTCATTCTTTATCAGAAGTCTATCTCAAAAACATGAGCTCAGCAGTGTGTCTCTGATACTGAAGAGGCTAAGGGTCTCCAAAGATGTACCATAGACAATGGATACATAGACACTAAATTAGTTGTTTGATTAACACTTGATAATTTGTTCTTGAAAAAGTGTAGGAGTAATCATCAAATATTCAAGTCTTAATCATCTCAGTTTTCTGTAAATTCCTCGGTGGCTCTCGTGCTTCTGAGTTAGCCTCAGTTGTTCATCTTTGCTTATGAAGGCCCTTCACAGTCTCTTCTTTCACATCTGCCAGTAAGTAGTGAGAGGGGTTCATACTTCTTGGCCAACAATGTTGACCTTCACTTACATGTGAGGTTTTTCAAATAACTGCCCCCTCACTTTCCCTTGTATTGCCCATTATGCCTTTAACCATCCACAAAGCTACTTGTTATCTTCTGTCAAACACCCTCCCTGTAACACCACTTTCTCTACAACCCTATAGCAAAAGTAGTAACAATTAGGAGACTGCATGCCAACATGACCAATGTTAGGTCACAGTCCTCACCTGCATCAATCTAATGTCTTCCAATTTACACTTAATTTAAGATTAAATCTGTTCACTTAAATCTAGTAGAGAAATAGATGAACAACATTCAAAACAAGAGCTGAAGTACTGCACATAAATACACTTAACTATTACCTTATGTATCACAGAATCATAGAATGGTTTGGGGTTGGAAGGGACACCTCCCACTAGACCAGGTTGCTCAAAACCTGTATTTATGTCTATGATAAAGAGTGGCCAAACCATATTATTTATGCAATTTTTTGTAGAATTAAAATTTTAAAATACAACCAAAACCAAGAAAGTCATAGACCTGGCTCCCATTCAAACTCTTGAAAAATTTAAAAAACAACAAGAGAATGAATTCTATTACAGAAGCACAAAAAAGAGAAGCAGACCATGAAATAGCACACCTTTCCAATTTTCCTATGGTCCCGGTTTCTGGCTTCTTCCTGGAATTTTTCCCATTCCTTCATCATTTTGTTATCAGGAAAGGATATTCCATATATTCTCTGCAGAGTTTCCATGTCAGATTTTCCTTCCCAATACGTAGAGGAATTCTGATGCACAAAACCCATACTTTAAGATAGTATTAAAAAATCTCAGGACAAGGAGGAATAAAGACTAATGCACTCAAATGTTAGGATTTTTTTTTTCTTGAGAAAAGATACAGGAAATATATTTCCTATGGAAAAGATATGGGAGATATTCCTTGGGAAAAAAAATGCATCCAGCGTATGTTTACAGTACTGTTTGAGGCCTCAAACTAGGACAAATACAAAGACACTTGCACTGCCTTTTAGTCAGCATACTAATACAGAAGAGATAAACCAAAATGACTCATGAAGCCATACTTTTATTCTACCCAGGTACCTTGTTTTAAACAACTCAATGTGACATGTTTTATTATCCCGCATTATATCTTCTGAAAAAAGAAGATCCACATCCTAAACAATGCAGTAGGGAAAAACAAAAGACAAAAAAAACCTCACTCTCACAGTTAAATCCCAGTTGTTTTGACAATCTAAAACTTAAGCCCTGCAATTCAGAGTTTCATAAACTTCAGTCAGGAAGCCAGCAAAGGCAACTATGATGAATGTTCCACTGAGGTCTAATGAAGTTACCAAAATTAGCATCTGCAAGTAACTTAAACTACGTTGTAACCAGAGTTACAGCATCTGCAAACACTGTTTCTGGCTTTCCTGTAAGCAATGCCATTTTTAAACAGCAATGCTTGCCCATCTGCCAGCGTCCACTTTACCTCCTGTACCTGAAAGATGCCATCTTAAAAGGTCAAAATACTATTTTCTGACCCAATGAATATCTTGGATGTTCATTTACTGCAGAAGAGAGCGTTCGCACACACAGATGTGACACCTAGTTCTACCAAGTGCAATGCTAATTGGAGATACTAGCACAGCATTGCCACATGACCTCAGGCCCCACATTCTTCTACTTCTATAACTGGTTCCACAGCTAACCTGGTCACTGCTAGCTTATTTCTGCAGTGCTCTTCATTATAGTCTAGGCATACAGCACTAATACTCTGATAAAAAAAAAAAAAAAGATGCCATTTACTTTCACTGACCTACCATATTGTGACAATCAAGAATCAGCAAACCTTGGAAGCAGATGAATGGTGAAAGGCTGTAGTTCTACTTGTGTGATGGGAGTGGGGAAAGAAATGAAGGACTATTTTCAGAGGAAGCAAAGAAAACAATACAAAGGACCCTAGCATAATCACTACAGGAGAAATAAATAAATAAATCAACTGACCCATAGTTTATTAAAGTCTTAATGCTCAGTTAACTTAAACTTACCTTAAATATTTTAAGAGCCTTGATTTTTCCAGTGTGTCTCACATGTGGACCCCTACAGAGGTCAATCAGTGGACCACATCTACAAGAAAAAAAAAGTATTTATTTCAAAACACTCCAACATTTTTAAACGCAGTCACTAAGGGCATATAAGTTTATGCTTCACGTGTTCAGACACACTAATAAGTATCCACACACAACACTCAGTAAATTTAGTGCATCTTAAATGCATCTTAAATAAAATTGTGCCTTCTATCTGAAGCAGAATATTCCCTCAGTATATACTCAGCACATTTGATCCATTACCAAGAGCATCATAACACACTCAGCAATTCGTATAGTTCCGTACAGAGTCTTTAATAAAGTTGGCCAGGAAATTTCAAACTACGCACATCAAACAGAACAAAAAGTTTTTACCATTTTTTGAATAACTAGATTTATCCCTGGCAATTCAATGAACAGGAACCTCACCCCACAGTGAGCTAAGGATTAGCTTTCCCCATTATTCACCAATTCAGTGTCAGGAGCAGTAATTTATTTTCATCTGTTTATTTGAAACCAGAGAGAATGAATGAAAAGTGGATTTGCTATTTGTCCACAAATTGAGACCTAATCTGTCCCAGCAGAGAAAGAAAAGATCTTACTTTATATAAATTTGCAATTAATATTGCAAACTTAAGTCCCAATCACACAAGCATTCAGAAGTTAGAATAAAAAATAAATTTATTCTCCTCTCAGTTCAAATGAAACATACCTAAGCATAGAAATGTTTCATAATACTTTTTAGCTTAATTTTGTTTACCTGTATACTGTGGTAGTTGGTGTGTTCACCTTCTCATTAAGGATACGACACTTAAACTTGTTATACTGTGGGGAAACATGAGAAGTCAGAAACACCAATAAAATCACTAATAAAATTCTATTTTAAAAGTATCTATCAATAATGCAAATGCATCAATAAAAGACGCAACTGAAAAGTCACACAAACACATATATGTATATACACAAAAGCCCAACATCCTTTCAGAAGAGTTATATAACAAGAGGGGAAAGAAACAAAGATATCTTAATTTCCTTGTGGTAATATTAAGCGCAGTGATTACCACCAGAACACCTCAAAGCACTTGTGAAAGGAAATTAAAACACGGTACAGTGAGACTGGTAATATTCACGGTATAAACCAGAGGACTAGAGGACAACTCTTTTTTGACTTGTCTCTGCAAGTGAGTCAGATTGAACTTGTGCCTTTTGTGTACTAATTTCTTTGTTATCTCACTGAACTTGAGGTGGTTTTGTGCAGTAAGAAATTGGTTTTATTATTGCCTGAAAACATCCTGAACAGTTAGAGAGGTGAGAAAAAGATGCTATTCTTTTTCTTTTTTTGACTAGACAGATACTGTTCTGATGAGTGAGACACATGCAGTATTTTATAAAAGTTATATTTTAAAAAAACATTGTACCAGAATCACAGCTACTCCAAATATTTACCTTAAACATATCTAACAAGATCTCCTTTTTGACTTCCAGTCTTTCAAAAGCCTGCTTCTCTTTTATGATATTTTTACAGCGGTTCTCTAGTAGTGGGAATTCAGTACTAGATACACCTCTAAACAAATAGACACAAGCAAAAGAAATATAAATTAATTATTTTTATATTCCCATTTTAAATGACCACTTTCTGGTGGTCTAATCTCAAAAACATGGGGTGTGTTTTCATGATTTGTCACAGCATTTTCTTAGTTTCTTACAACTGGCTGTACTTGCAGACACTAAACTCAGAAACACAAATGGTATCACCCTCAATAAACCCGCTGCCATCACTCCTAGAACAGTCTTTGACATATATAAATATCTAGAACATCTCAAGCTCAAAATATATATGACAAGAAAAAAGTTAAAAAAAAAAAAAAGGCTCAACCCAGCCACAAGAGCTGGTTTATCAGCTGATGCAGATTCTGTATTCTCCCCCACTACAGAGAGATAAACAAGGAAAAAAACAGAATCGTAAAGCTGTGCACAAGGATTAGAAAAAGCAAACACCTATACAAGTTACATGCATACGTGCCATTTCTACAAGTGACTATGGCACTTTGAAACCAAACCCCCATGATTCTTCATGGAAACTGTCTCCTGTATTTCCCAGAACTTGAGAAAGTTTTACCTAAACACTCTACATTTTTTCACAAAACATTCAACAACTGCAGGTCTTAAGGAGTCAGGTGTCTGACATTGCTCTTGAATTTAAATGTACAAACACACTCTCAATATGTATGTATACACAGACCTATACTATGAAGATGACTAACCTGTCAATTTTAAACCATACTACATACATGATTTTACTTTTAACATGCAGAAACATGACTAAGCAAAAAAAATTTAAAACCTGTAAATTTTAAACCATACTAGATACATGATTTTACTTTTAACATGCAGAAACATGACTGAGCAAAAATAATTTTAGTACTGAGCTTCAACACAGAGTATGAAAGTTGTCAGACACTGAAATTTTACCTGTCTTCAATGTACATGTCATAGTAAAATCCATTTTCAATTGGTGGTCCATAGCATAAGCAGCCCCCAAAATAACCTTCCATGGCCTCTCCAAGAATATGAGCACTTGAATGCCAATAAACCTGCAAATAAAGTCAGGTGAGCAAGCCATGGGGTCACTGGAATTGTGTAACTAAAAATTAAAAACAAAACTAGACTTATATCTGCAGATGGGAAACGCACTGGAGTCAGAGTCGCTTAAATTCTGTGAGAAGTATAACAGTTTTCTCTTTTCATTTAAAGTATGCTAAATGATTAATATAATCACAGATGTAACAACAAGGCCCCATTATGTTTCAGTCTGAAAGATGATTATATCTCTGCACAATTCCATCACCTTAGTACTTATTGTAATGTTCATTTAGAAGTTAGTTTCCAGTCAGTTAAAAATCTGTGCAATACTAACTGCATCTAAAGCGATGTAGCCAATTAAATTACCACTGTTCACATACAGTACATTTATTAATAGGATTGTAAACCACATTACTCAAAACATCAGAAGAGGGGAGTCAACAATCCTGTAGATCAACCTTAGTACTTACTGCTTTGTCGAATCATGACAAATACATTACTTGAGTAATTTGGGGGATGTTTTTCCATTCAAAATTTTAAAACACTGCAATCAATTTCATGCCATTAGTTCCTTTAACCAAGCAGAAACCAGAGAGTGTTTACTCACAGCTTTTGCTTCTTCATTATCAAATGTAAGCAGCTCCAGAGTACAATCTCCCTCCAGTGGACGATCCAGGTCCCACAGCTCACCATTCACTTTGGCTATGACTGCATTCGAAGCCAACGCTTGACTAAAAACCACAAATGATAAGAGACCAAAATATTTAGGCTCAGATTCACGGAAGTGCTCAGGTTTCTAAAGCCCGTGAGACCCCACCCATGTCTCATAGCACCTAAAGACCTTTAATTTTTGTTTCTGTGGTCTTCTTAAAACACTTTTCTACTTTTAAGGTATAAACCCTCAAGATCCCTGAAGTTTCATTCACTGGAGGAAAGACTGGTTCTAACAACAATTTCCGCTGTTATCTGGTTACTCACAAAACTTCAGATGTCTCAATTAATTCCTAACGGTCTCAGTGATTGTTATATTTTTTAACTGGAAGCAAGCATCACTCAGAGCAGTAACTTCACCTGGTTATTTCCTCTGCATTAAGCTGAAGTTTCAATGACGCTTTCCAAATACATCAACTTCAGAAAGTCACCATCCACCGGCTGAAGTTTCAATGACGCTTTCCAAATACACCAACTTCAGAAAGTCACCACCCACCATGACATACATCTTATACAACACGGTAAGAGACAAATGATAGTTACAGATTTATGACTACAAAAGTACAGCTCCTTCAGTCCGCAGGTTACCTGATTCCTACAGCTAATTGATACGGTGTGGTTTTCCAAGATTCCCCTTCAACCATCTTTCCATCTGTCAGGGTAATTTTGATAGGTTTGCTCTCGTTGGCGGCTCTGTAAGCTAGCAAAGCATCGTGTTCTTTTTTCAGTGCTTCATAAATCTTCAGTCTGTCTTCTATGAAGCTTGGCTCACACTGCAACAAATAAATGAAATCATACGCATACATATTTGTGAGAAAAACATAATTAAAGGATTCGCAGTGTTTAGGCATCCCTACAGGTTCCAACTGAGACCAGATTTCACTGTACTAGGATTCATACTAATACACATTAAAGCATTTGTAAATAGTTATACACAGGGGAGTCCCATCCAACTTGCTGACTATTTCACAGTGGCTTTCCAATTTTCCAATGCACCTTCATCAATCTGGGCCTAAGTGGCTCTACGAGTCTGACCTCGGAAAGCAGCCTATTTGTATTTAGCTGACATCCTGGAGAAGTCTGGATCACACCAACAAGCTCTCACTCCTGCCAGTCCATTGAAATCAGAGTCAAATAAGATAGTCCATGGGAAGATTCCTTTAGTTTTGCATAAGGTGAATTATTAAGATCTATTGAACTACAGCTACTGCTGCCAACATCCTCTTTCAGCCATCATGCACACTGTTTATTCATGAACTAACACTCACTCACAGTATCCTGACCCTTATTTTCCCACAGCCCATATCCTTGTGTAGTATAAAAACTACTAATCTAAAAATACATAAGTATCCCTACTAATTACATGCAAGATGAAGCTCTTGGATAATTATTTTTTTTTCTGTATGCATGCTATAGCAAGCCTTCTTCCCAAAATCTGGGATTGCAAAGTACAGCAAAGTATTTCAGATTTCAGCACGTCTCCTGAACCTAGCCAAATAACACTCCTATGGTATAAAATAACCACTTACATCATTCTGATGTTGGTGCACAGCTTCATTTTCTTTTTTCTTTTCCTCTTTATTTTGATCCACCACAACAGCTGGACTTGCACTGCAGGCTTTCTGAAAACAGTGATAATATGAAGTTACATGTCTATGCCTTTAAAGCTATTCCCAGCAATCACTGAAACAAACCAGACCAGCGCAACACGGGACTAAAAAGGCATTTACACCCGAGTAAGGCACGTCCCTAGTGCAGGCTAAAGACTCCTCGTGTCACATCCCAGCTGCCTGCTCCTGACGGCGAGCAGACCAACTGCTCACCAGGCAAAAAACCTGCCCAAAGCAGCTCCCCTAGTTTTCTAACCGCTGTGGTTGCCAGACCCTGCGGCGCTGAAGCAGCCCAGCGAGCAATAGCAACAGCTTTCGGTGGTCTGACAGGCTTATCCCGCCCTCGGGGATACCGGCAGCGGCACCGCCCGGTGCTCGGGCCGCACGGAGAGACCGCCACCGGCTCCCACCCCGACAGCCCCGCCGGGGCCCGCCGCCCGTCCCGGTGCCTGTAGCAGAGAGAGCCAGCCCGCCCCACAGCCATGAGGACGGCGGCGGAGCCCCCCGGCTCCGGGCCCTACCTCCTCCTCCGCCGCGGGGCCCGGCGGCCGCGGCTCCGCCCTGCCCAGCTCGGCCTCCAGGCTGCGGCGCAGGTGCAGCAGGCGGTAGCGGAGCTTCTCGTTCTCGGCCCGCAGCCGCTCCAGCTCGGGGCCGCAGCTCCCGGGGCATCCCGGCTCCTTCAGCCGCCCC